AAACCCTAGGCCCTAGACCCTAAACCAGAAGAAAGGGTGTAGGGTTTAAGGTTCAGGGTTTAGGGTTCAGGGACCTGGGGATGAAATTTCGGGAGCCTTTATGGATTGCGAGTGCCTTTTTTGCAGTTCCGAATCGTGTCGGTTTAGGGTTTAGGGTTTAGGGTTTAGGGTTTAGGGTTTAGGGTTTAGGGTTTAGGGTTTACGGTTTAGGGATACCGGAAGTTCCGACTTGCTTGGTAGGTTTGGGACTGTCGGACCTGACTGAGCGGTTTGGTAAGCCTTAACCTCACACAAACCCCAAACCTTAAAGCCTAAACTCTAAACCTCAAAGCCCTAAACCCTAGACTGTAAGCCTTAAACCTTCCAGCCTCAACCCTAAAGCCTTGATCGTGAAGCAGTAGCAGCAGTCACATGGCAGCGGCAGTAGCGAGTAGATTTGGCCGTAGGAAAACTGATGATGATGATGATGATGATGATGTTGATGATGATGACGATGATGATGATGATGATGATGATGCCGATGATGATAGGGAAGCACCATGAGGTTAAATGACGGCGATGACCAATCATCAATGATGCTGAAGATAAGGACGAGGATGACGATGAGGATGAACATGAGTTTAGGACGACGGCGAATGTGCGGACAAGGATGACAGTGAGCATGGAGACCTGGGACAAGACCATCTACAACAAATCCTTAACGACTACTTGTCATGGTGATGAATATGTTGCTGTCCTGCACCCTGAGCCTCAAAGCTTATTCCGAAGCTGCTGCTTCTTCTTGTTATGATGATGGCGGCAAGTGTCCCACAGACATTCGAAAACCCGAAATTAATGAACACGGTTTGATCTGTGGTATGGTGTAGGGATGTTGGTTTCGGGTGTAGGGTAACTTCACCAAAGTATCTTAGCTGGCTTACAGCCCTCAACACCACCAGGACCCGAAATCCTAAACCCTAAACCCCTTCTGGAAGCTCTTAAGAGAACCACTATTATGTGGGGTTCCTCACGATAATTATAGTATAATCTACCCCGAACCCCATTCTAATTATTAAGGCCCCTACATTACGCCCTCGCTCTTGTCCAGATGGTCTTAATAGGCACATTGAGAACACCATTACGCACACCCTTATCTGAAAAGTCATTGTAGAATGAAGCCCCATAAAGCCGCGAAGACCCCGAAAAACCCTGGCAACACACTTGTTGCCCCTCATACAACGCTACAAAACCTCCTGGCGGTCCGAGCACTCTCCTAGAACTCTTAGCAATTCCCAAATCCTCAACCCCAGACCCTAAACCCTAAACCCTAGACTCTAAACCCTAAACCCGAGACCCTCAACCCTAAACCCTAAACTGAAAACCCCGTAAACCCTAGGCCCTAGACCCTAAACCCCAAACTGAAAAACCCCAAACCCTAGACCCTAGACCCTAAACTGAAAAACCCCTACACCAGGCCCTAGGCCTGAAACCCCAAACTGAAACACTCCAGACCCTAGACCCTGGACCTGAAACTACCCTAAACCCTACCTTAAGAACCCAAAACCCACTTTTTTGTAGGTTCTTACTATAAACCCAAATATGGGATTTATAGGGACCCTACAAAAAAGTAGGTTTTGGGTTCTTAAGGTAGTGGTTAAAACCTTCCAGCAAGGCCCGACCAGGGAAGCGCCCTGGTCCGTGCCGAAGCCGCCATGTGCTCATCGTTGTGCCCAGAGACTCCAATATCCCTTAATTAAGGAATATACCTTAAATCATATTAAGGATCCTAGTATAATTTAAGGAATATTCCATAGTTAAGGGATATTGGAGTCTCTGGGTGAGGTGGGTCTTAGGTTCTGGGACTTCGGGTTTAGGGGCTTTAGGGTTTTAGGATTTGGGGGGTAGGGTTGAGGAAACTAACCTCAAACCCTAAAGCAAGCGGAAACGGCTTGAGTCTTCCTTAGACCTCCTCCAGATATCCTAAAATCATCCAAGACCCTTACAGCCCCAAACCCAGAAGTATCAAAAGCTTCTAAGCCCTGAAAGACAATCGAAGCCGGCTATGTGACTTCAGATCCCTAGACTATTTAAACTCTATAGGGTATAAGGGTGACAGGGTTTGGCGTTTTAGGCTTTGGGGCTGCAGGGTTGCATCAAGGGCTTCAGCTTGCTGAAAGGGTTTAGAGATTTAGGGTTCAGGTGATGGGGACTGACAAGGTCCTTTAGGATGTTGGATATCCCATAGATACACACCCCAAGACCTTAGTGTACCCAGGGCTTTTAGATTTCGTTCCTTGAAGAGAGCTGTGCGGATTTACAAGGGCTTTTGGCTGAACAAAAACCCTAAACCCCAAACC